CGACCTGGCCTGGCCCTGGGAGTGTGTTCCCTAGCCCCCACCTGGCCCTGGTTGTGTGTTTCCCAGCCCAGCTCCCCTTCCCCCCTAGCCCCACCTGGCCCTGGGGGGTATGTTCCCAGTCTCCCGCCCGACCCTTGGAGTGTGTTCCTAGCCCCCTGCCACACACACACCTGGCCCTGGGAGTGTGTTCCCCAGGCCCTCTCTGGCTGTGTCTAGACTGGCAAGTTTTTCCGGAAAATCAGCTGCTTTGCCGGAAAAACTTGCCAGCTGTCTACACTGGCCGCTTAAATATCCGGAAAAGCACTGGCGATCTAATGTAAAATCATCAGTGCTTTTCCGGAAATACTATGCTGCTCTCGTTCAGGCAAAAGTCTTTTTCCGAAAGACTTTTGGGCAAAAGGGCCAGTGTAGACAGCACAGTATTGTTTTCCGCAAAAAAGCCCCGATCGCAAAAATGGCGGAAAATCCCCACGCTCTCCACTGAAGCCCTGCCCCTCGTCCCTGAGGCTCCTCCTACCATTCCTACATGGGGGAGAAGAAAGGAGTGAGCCCCTTGCTTGCTGAATGAATGAGGTGTATGTAAATGGGTAAGGCATGGAAAACAAGCACCTCCAGGGATGGAAGCCAGATCCAAGAACAGTGGGACCTGTGAAGTGGGCTCATTGAAAGAAGACTGGGCGTATGGACGCCTTGGGGCTCAGCAGCAAGTGCCTGCTTTTGGAAGCCCCCTCTTTGAAGGTGAATGTGGCAGCATTGAGACACCCCCAGAAGAAGGCGCCACAGATGTCTAACTGCATATGCAGAAAATGGCTCTCACAGATGATGCATGTGATGACTAACTGGTGCAGCTCTGCATGAGAGGGAAGGGACTATAAATCTAAGGCATTTTGCAGAGGGACCCCGGGTTTCGTCTTGTCAACATGGGAGCATTGATCCGGATCAGCAGAAGCCCGACTCTACCACTCCCCTACCTAACTCACCTGGCCAATGCAGTTAGGGGGAGCAACTATTGGTAACAAGATGGAGCGTGCGTGTACGTGATCTATCCGGCAATCGGCGCATGCGCAGATTGCCCAAACCTGGCTCTTCCGGGTTGTAATCTACTCACCATGGGCAAGTAGATTGCATTATTGTCGAGCCCTGATCATATGCGTATGATAAGCGCTGATTAATATAGGTATTACCAATAAATGTGGCGTTTTGCCTTTTGCCCCTGAAAAGATCCCGTGTAGGACTTTTAAGTACACCACCTGCCTGGCCCTGGGAATGTGTTCCTAAGTCCCCTGGCTGTGGAAGTCTCTTCCCTAGCCCTAAGAGTGTTCCCAGCTCTCCCCTCCTCCCTCCCCCCAGGCCTGGAGTGTGTTCCCTAGCCCC